AACGTTCGCATGTCAGGGATGAGGCTTGAACCCTTTGCCCCTGCAGTGGGACTGATCTAAATAAGCGTGCCAGTCCTGAAATTCACACTGCCCAAATGCAATTTGTTTGAACAGAAAGCAAAAGCTTTGGCAAACAGGACTGGAAGTTGCATCAGAAAGTGCTCTGTCTACATGATTCCACAATGAAGGACTGTCACAAGATATGTACAGCAGCAGGAAACCTCTGGGAAATGTAAAGACATCCCTAGTATCTAACCTAAGCAGGTAATCCAAAGCATATCCTAAAATATTATTATCTGAGAGCTGGGGTATCTGATCCTCAATAATTTATAAGGAACCTCTGAAGCAATTCCTGCTGTTTAATGCGAAGGATTTTCTCTTGATTCACCACAACTTCTGAAGAACAGCTTCACTTCACTTCTTCTCCTTTGGAATATTTAATATCTGTACTGTACTTCTTGCTTTCTCCCCTCTTTGTAGGTACTCATGCTGGATTGAAGCAATCTTTATCTTTTTGCAAGCTTCCCTTGATAGTTATGTGTGGAACTAAAGAGCGCTCTCTGTTTTTATTATGTATTCTGTGTTCCAATTTTGTGTTTTTATGTTGAGAACCACCCTGTAATCTTCGGGTGAAGGGTACTATACAAATTTAATAAATGATAATATTATTAATAATATATGGCAGCTATCACCCATTCTTCCCCATTTTTGGCATGAAGTTTCTCTCATCTCTGCTTCCCTTCTGATTTAACCAGAGTTGTGCCACTTTATTTTGTGCTATGTCAATGTTCTACTTTGGTAACCACCGTATTATTCCTTTGTATCCATTTTGACTCTAAGCTCTACAGTCATTTGCCCCATGGTGCACCGTGACTCTCAGCTCAGGACCCAGGCATGTGTTCCTCCTGGAATCCACAACGTGGGAAAATGAGGGCGTTTGGTGACAATAACAGACCACCCCAAGTGAATGGCTCTTCCAAGTTAGGGGTGGCCAACTTCAGACCTAGGTAGGGGTCCATGGGTCTCTTCCCAAGCCATGTCCCTCCCCAACCCTACTCCATACCTCCCTCAACTGTTTTGTCTGGCTAGAATGTGTTCTTGGGTTGTTATAAAAACCTCTTGCTTACCTGGATTGAGATGTGACTCTGACTTTTGCATGGCTGGAGTAAAAAGGTAAATGACCCCTGGATGGTTACGTCCAGTCAAAGGCGACTAATGGGGTTGCGGTGCTCATCTTGCTTTCAGGCTGAGGAAGCCGGCATTTGTCCACAGACAGCTTTCCGGGTCATGTGGCCAACAGGACTAAATGCTTCTGGCGCAACGGAACACCGTGATGGAAACCAAAGTGCACGGAAATGGCGTTTACCTTCCTGCTGCAGTGGTACCTATTTATCTGTTTGCACTGGCATGCTTTCGAACTGCTAGGTTGGCAGGAGCTGGGACAGGGCAACAGGAGGAGCTCACTCCATCGTGGGGATTCAAACCGCTGACCTTCTGATCGGCAAGCCCAAGAGGCTCAGTGGTTTAGACCACAGCGCCACCCACGTCCCTGGTGGAGTGTAGCCCCGTCACTGTTGCCTCTGTCCCCTGTCACTTTTCCTTCTGGCCCTACCCAGCACTGGCATGCAGGACCAAGAAGATTCCCCGTGAGGAAATGCAGTCCTTAGGCTGAAAAAAACGTTTTCAGTCCACATCGCTAGTGAAAAAGCTCTGATTTCCCATATATCCTTTGAGCGTGAGTGAAGAGACGGAGAAGTATCTGATTTAAAGATATAAAGTAACTTCTCCCCTCCCTTTCTCTCTTTCTCTCTTTCTCTCTTCCCTCCCGAAACAGCGCAAATGCTTTGAAAGATTCTATTCTCGGAAAGGAACTGAAATAATTTTAAACGGACCAATTTACATATTTCTGAAATAACATGCTTCCCTTCATAACAGATCCTTAGCTGTCAGGGTTGTTTCAAATTGAGGCAAAAATTATACTGTAGATTAAATTCTCACAGCTGATACATTTGTAACAATAATACTTAACCGTCTTTAACTCTCAAATAAAAAATTGCAGCAGATTGAGGCACGGCAGAAAGAATGCATAATACTGGGATCACATTAACAACACCTTCCGAAGGAAACATTAGAACTAGCACAGACAAAACACTAATTAGTATGAAACGGTGCAAAGGTATAAAGAGACAGCGTTGAGCATTAGAAGGTCTTTTCTCTGCCTAACCTTGCTTCATTGTTAACTCTTTGATCCTACACTCCTAATCTGTGTAACTAATTAATCTGAATAGGTAGCCAAGTAAGTATGTGGGTAATTTTGAGCAATATTGATAAATACAGATGGAACATCTTTCCAACTGTAATGACTTGTTCGCCACATCTTCCAGAAGTAATAATATATCTTCCCTCTAAATCCGTTTCACCTGGCATCAGCAGAACATAATAATAATAATAATAATAATAATAATAATAATAATAATAATTTATTATTTGTACCCCGCCCATCTGGCTGGGTTTCCCCAGCCACTCTGGGCGGCTTCCACAGAGACCAAAAATACACTAAAATGTCACACATTAAAAACTTGCCTTAAGATGTCTTCTGAATGTCAGGTTTGACATCTCATGGGAGGGCGTTCCACAGGGCGGGTGCCACTACCAAGAAGGCCCTCTGCCTGGGTCCCTGTAGCTTTGCTTCTCATAATGAGGGAACCGCCAGAAGGCCCTCGGCGCTGGACCTCAGCATCCGGGCAGAACGATGGGGGTGGAGACGCTCCTTCAGGTATACTGGACCGAGGCCATTTAGGGCTTTAAAGGTCAGCACCAACACTTTGAATTGTGCTCGGAAACGTACTGGGGGCCAATGTAGGTCTTTCAAGACTGGTGTTATGTGGTCTCGGTGGCCACCCCCAGTCACTAGTCTAGCTGCCGCATTCTGGATTAATTGCAGTTTCCGGGTCACCTTCAAAGGTAGCTCCACGTAGAGCGCATTGCAGTAGTCCAAGCGGGAGATAACTAGAGCATGCACCACTCTGGCGAGACAGTAAGAGGAGCCTGCTGGATCAGGCCAATGGCCCATCTAGTCCAGCATCCTGTTCACACAGTGGCCAACTAGATGCCCGTGGTGAACCCTCAAGCAGGATTTGAGCACAAGAGCAACTCTCCCCTCCTGTGGTTTCCAACAACTGGTATTCAGAAGCACTGCTACCTCTGGTTATGGGAGCAGAACACAGCCAGCCTTATTGTCTATACATCTGTTCAGTCCTCTTTTAAAGCTGTCCAAGTTGGTGGCCATCACTGACTCCTGCAGGAGCAGTTTCCATAGTTTAAATATGCACTGGTTGAAGAAGGAATTTATTTTATCTGTCCTGAATCTTCCAACATTCAGCTTCATTGGATGTCCATGATTTCCAGTGTTGTGAGAGGAGGAAACCTTTTCTCCATCCACTTTCTTCATGCCATGCATAATTTTATAAACTTCTTCATGTCACCTGTAGCTTGCCGTTTTTCTAAAGTGAAAAAAAAGTCCCCAATGCTGCATTTTTTCCTCACAGGGAACGGCTCCACCACCTTGATTTTTCCAGTTGCCCTTTTCAATGGCCTTTCTGAAGTGAGGCAACCAGAATGGTACAGAGTATTCCAAATGCAGTTGTAACATACATCTGTATAATGGCATTATGATACTGGCAATTTTATTTTCAGTTCCTTTCCTTTATATATATATTTGCAGCTGCTATATGCAGACGGCTCATCCAGACTTCCTTTTGTGTCATGTTTCTAGGCACAGGTTTGCGCTTTAAAGATCTGTGTCCTAAGTACTTTTCCTGCAAAACCCAGTCTTTACTCCTGAAAACAATTTTGTGGAAAACCCAATTGCCATTTGTTCTGATTCAGCATTAAAGAGTGGTTTTGCCTGGAGATAGCAGTGAGGCAAAAAAAGTGTTGATGAGCCTTGAGTTGAGAGAGGGAGAGTTTAGACAGCAAACATCCTTCTATCAGCTCAAATAGAAGCAACTGCCAACTGATGTCTTCTTTCCTGGAATTGTCTCCTGGAATGACCATTCCAGCTGTGTGCAGCAAAATAATAATAATAATAATAATAATAATAATAATAATAATAATAATAAAATTATTTATATCCTGCCCTCCCCAGCCAAAGCCGGGCTCAGAGCGGCTAACAACATTCTAAAACATTCTAAAATCATTTCATTATAAAATTAATTCAAATCAGATTAATGGCAACCATTGGGCTAGAGTTCTGTGAAGATTGCCAAAGGAAGGAGTCAGGCTGTGCCCTAGCCAAAGGCCTGGTGGAACAGCTCTGTCTTGCAGGCCCTGCAGAAAGATGTCAAGTCCCGCAGGGCCCTAGTCTCTTGTGACAGAGTGTTCCACCAGATCAGAGCCTCTGCCGCAAAAGCCCTGACTCTGGTTGAGGCCAGCCTAACCTCTCTGTGGCCTGGGACCTCCAAGATGTTTTTGTTTGAAGACCGCAAGTTCCTCTGTGGGACATACCAGGAGAGGCGGTCCCATAGGTATGAGGGTCCTACGGTATGATAACAAACCCTCCTTCAGCTGTAACCAGCCGTCTTTTGTATCTTCAGCTTCCAAAACTGTCTCCAACAGCAACCATTCCACCGGGGTGTAGCAGAGGAAGAGTTGAGAGAACAAGCCCTCCTCCATCAGTTCAGCTAGGACCAATTGCCATTTGGCTTCCCGTTTCCTGGAATCATCTCCTTCAGTAGTCACTATATAACAGCGGGGGGGGGGGGGGACCTGGCCCTGAATATGCTTCTCTTCCTCTCCGCCCCATTCCTATTCCTTTCCAGTGGAAGTTTTAGTCCAAAATATCTGGAGGGCACCAGGTTGGTGAACACTGTTGCGATTCTTACTATTTAATTATTATTAAATATATAAATTGCCTCAAGTTCTTCGGCAGAAAGGTTGTATATAAATGAATCCAATAAATAAATAGTATTGTTACTAGATTTATATACTGCCTTTCATATGTCCGGATAGCTCAGTTGGTTAGAGCATGGTGCTGATAATGCCAAGGTTGTAGGTTCAATCCCCGTATGGTACAGCTACGTATTCCTGCATTGCAGATGGCTGGACTAGATGATCCTCAGTATCCCTTCCAATTCAATAATTCTTTGATCATGCTGGAAGTGATTTAAATATTAAATAGCCAGAAACTGTGATAAGACGACAAGAGAAAGAAAAAAGGTACCTGCCAATTAACTGACTACTTTCTCTTCTATCACCACGTTCCATCTTGGTGGATGTCACATGCCAATTAAGTACAATTAAAGCAGCTTATGAAAGCCTCCACTGGTTAAAGAGTCCACAGATGCACATCTATGCAAACATTTCATACCACATCTATTCATTATGTAAGTATAAAAAAGTATACTTGAGTAATATAACCCACAATAAATACTGTTCCATGTTTTCACAAGCTTGCTAAGACCCTCTCTCCTCTACAACGTCAGCTAATCTTGTGATGGAAGGCCTTGAAATTTGAAATGTTGTTTTGACATATTTGACATATCCTTTTCATCAATGTCAAAACAAAATGTCAACATTTTTGCAATTGCAACCCTCTGTAAGGAAGGATTATGACGTCCACTCAGTGCCTGAACAACAGATTATTGGGGAGACTTTAGCAGGATAATTATTGATAATTATTTATTTAACAGTTTTACACATGCTTTGCTTGGCTTTAAACAAATCTGTGAAATATCTCTTGACTTTCTAAACCCAGAATGAGACTTTTCCACCTACCAGTTCTACAGTGGCTATTTTACTAAGCAAAGTGTTGAACCGAGGCCTACACTGGTCAAATGGCCAGCTTCTGTGAGCGACAAATATACAGGCCCACAGCCAGAAATTTTGCGGCAGGGTTCCTAAGGGTATATTATTAATTGACTACACAAAGTGAGGCCCTTGGTTTAACTAAAGCATTCTGGCAGTTTGGTCGTGTGAGCTGGTACAGAAGAGTGGCTAAGACTGAAGTATATATAAAGAACCCCCCGATTTGAATCTTGCCACCGCTGTGAACTTACTAGGTGGCCCTTACACAAGCCACCCACCTCTATCTGCAATGTAGGTAATAATAAACAGGGGTGAAGTAGGGATTACAGTTAGGTGAGGCATGTGAAATGCCATACAGATGTTAAGTATTGTTAACAGGGATGCGGGTGGTGCTGTGGTCTAAACCACTGAGCCTCTTGGGCTTGCCGATCAGAAGGTCAGCAGTTCGAATCCACACAATGGGGTGAGCTCCCACTGCTGTCCCAGCTTCTGCCAACCTAGCAGTTTGAAAGCACACCAGTGGAAATAGATAAATAGGTACCACTGCGGCGGGAAGGTAAACGGCATTTCCGGGCACTCTGGTTTCCATCACGGTGTTCTGTTGTGCAAGAAGTGGTTTAATCATGCTGGCCACATGACCTGGAAAGCTGTCTGTGGACAAACGCCGGCTCCCTTGGCCTGAAAGTGAGATGAGAGCCGCACCCCATAGTTGCCTTTGACTGGACTTAACCGTCCAGGGGTCCTTTACCTTTAATTCTTGTGTATTTATCTGCTCTTCTATCTTTTATTAATTACTACTCTCAGTGTATGGTATTGTATAATATTAACTTAAAATGTGCCCTACAATTATTTATATCGAAGATTGGCATATACATGTAAACAAACAAACAAATGACCTTCCTCTCACAGCTTGGTTCGTTCCAAGTCACCATTTCTCAGACCCAGTTACCTATTTGTAAAATGTAAGAAATAGTAAATTCAAATATGGTGGCTGTTAGGTGTGTGTGTGTGCGTGCGCGTATGTGCAAACTTTAGAGGGGCCCTATATACTGTATAATAAAAAAGTTCTAGTCTGAACTGTTGTTGCATCCAAACCAGCCACAGCAGGTAAGGCTGAATGGAAACTGCCGTTTATTGCAATTCTTGTGAAGATTCTCTTACCGAATGAGAATTTTAGGATGTAGCCCAACAATAACAACACTATTTAACCTTGAGGGGGGAAATGTTGACACAGTATTTATGCGTTATTTATTGCAGCAACAAATAAATCATAGAACATAAGGTGTCAGTCTCCAGAGATCCTTCATTCAGGTGTTACAAGTCTTTTCTTTTATTTAAAGGAAACAGGAAAAGAAAACATGTTAGGCAGGATATGTAGAACAGATATGAATGAAGTTTTGGAAGACAGTTGAGCATCCATCAGAAAGGGAGAATGATTTATGTATTCGAAAAAGCAAGGGGAGGGAAAGACAAGAATGAAAATGGAAGCCAAGCCAGCTGTTGTTGTTGTTATTTTATTGTTATTGTTAGCCTTGAGGTTCACAGAAGTACCTTGAACCTGGCCCAGCAGTAAATTATCAACTAGGAGCAGAGTTGCATACTGTGTATAATCTGCTCCTTTGAGTCATCTGGCTGCTGGATTGTACACTAATTGAAGCTTCTGAGGTTGCCAGTGTATGGACCACTGTAGCCTGGCTCCTGTGGTCCAGGAATGGTCACAGTAACTCAAAACGGCCTCTTTCCAATGTCCATACCTATTTTTGTGTGAAGAAGTCTGTATTTGCCTGACGTTTACTTAATCCTATGTTAATACTGACCGCCCCCCCCCCGTATATAATCTTCGAATCTGAAGTGCAAAATAAAAAATAACATTGAGCAGAGAAAGAAGTTTCATAGATATGTCTTGGTATACATTTCATCAAGACAGAAAACTCATTCTAGATGTCTGAGCAGAAGAGAGTTTATCATCTAGAAGGTAAGGGGGGAATACCAATGTATGTGCACAGATTTCCTCCCCTTATAAAATAATAATAATAATAATTTATTATTTATACCCTGCCCATCTGGCTTAGTTTCCCCAGCCACTCTGGGCGGCTCCCAATCGAGTGTTAAAAACAATACAATTAAATATTAAAAACTTCCCTAAACAGGGCTGCCTTCAGATGTCTTTTAAAAATAAGATAGCTGCTTATTTCCTTGACATCTGATGGGAATGCGTTCCACAGGGCGGGAGCCACTACCAAGAAGGCCCTCTGCCTGGTTCCCTGTAACCTCACTTCTCGCAATGAGGGAGCCACCAGCAGGCCCTTGGCTCTGGATCTCAGTGTCCGGGCTGAACGATGGGGGTGGAGACGCTCCTTCAGGTATACAGGAACGAGGCTGTTTAGGGCTTTAAAGGTCAGCACCAACACTTTGAATTGTGCTCAGAAACGTACTGGGAGCCAATGCAGATCTCTCTTCAGTAGACCCCAAGAAAAAGCTCAGAAGGAGGAATACCATAGCATTATTTTGTCACTTGTCTGCTGTCACCAAAGTTCTCCCAAAGTCGAGGACTTCCAGGTCAGCGCCATCGGTGAATGGCGGAGTTCCTCCGACCGGAGGAACGGGCTCCGTGGAAACTGGGTCTTCCCGCCGCGGCGAAGGTGGGGACCCGCTAGAAATCCCAGGCGGAGGAAGCCTGGGAACGTGGGGTTCGGCAGGGCACCAGAAGCGCCCCCCTACTCGCGGGGAATCCCATCTAGGGGCTCCGGAGCGAAGTGGGGTGAGAAGCGCGGTGCTACGAACTGACCGCTACTTTCACGGAGTGAAGCCGCACAGCCATTGCCAGAGAGCGCTGACTTTTTCCTGTGGACAATTGGACTTAAAACAAGTACCTGTGAGTAGAAACGGAAAATTGGACCAAGAAATTGTTTTAATTTGGTATCGAAGCGGGAAGGTGCAAACAGGAAGTCCGCCTTCCGCTTTTTTGTATATAGACTAAAGCAAAAATTTTGCAAGCTAAAGCCGGGAAGCTGTCAAAAAAGGACTAAATTTCCCTCATTTAGAAACACTGAAACCCCCCCCCCCCCGGAAGCAGGAGAAAAGGGGGGGGCCTGTTTAACCCCAGCAGGAGAGGGAGTGAAGAAAGATAAGTTTCCACCGTCTCTAACCTGGGAACGGGGTGTCAGAGACAGAAACTGTTGGAGAGGTTCATTGACTGTGAACGTAACACTTTGACAGATAGCTAATGAAGAGAAACAAGTTGATTCTAATGTTGCCTTTTGCATCTTAAAGAAACAAAATATCTGAAAAACGTCTGAAATATCTGAAAAATGAAAGTAACTTTCCTTTGTCTTTTAAAAAAATGGCTACAAGTAGATTGTCTACTCTAGAGGAGCTTGCTAAATTGTTGTTGCAGCATATTTGAGACCCAACATCTGTGAGATTAAGACTGTGGGAACAGTCTTTTCTGACCTTGAACAAAGATGAGCTGGGAGAAAGACTGGCTGCTTGCTCTATGCAAGACAAATGCTTTGCTGGAACAGATGCATGAAAAGATGGACTTGATGAATGAGAAAATGGATTTGACTGTTGTGGTTAATAACATTGATACAGAAATCATCCAGGAACCAACCTATCAATCTGTACTGACTGGGCAAGTGCAGTTGACAATGGAAGAGGATGCGGCTGCACCTCAAATAGTACAAATGGAGAGACCCGAGGCCCTACAGGAGCATAAGCCGCTGCTGTTGAAGATTGAGGTTGGAGTGGGCCAAGGGGAGTCTGGAGATGAGGAGGCTCCTAGCTTTGGAGAGATCTTGAAATTTGATTTTAAATTTATTTTGGATTTTATCGAGGACTGTGGGGAGTGGGACTGTGGGGAATGGGTGAGCTGGATGAAGGGTGATGGAGACAATTTTGGGTTGGAACCCCCCAGAGACCTACTCCTCAATGAGAAAGGAAAGAAACTAAGACAGAGACCAACAAGAGACAAGGAAAAGGGCAAGCACAAACAAGATGAAGAGGAACTGCAGAAGGGACATGGAAGAGATTTAAGGGCCTCGGACATAAGGCTTCCAGGTTGATGGACTAGATGGAATGGACAATAAGGACTGACATGACCCAAGACCAGGAAGAAGAGACGCTGGATGATGATTGGAAGAGAATTTATAATGGAATTTTTCTTTATTTTAGAATCAGCTAATGAATATTAGGGAAAATGTGGGAATGAAACTATACGACTCTAGCAGAAATGATATCAGGAGCTATGTATATTTGAAATTTAAGATT